TTTTGTATAAACCAGCAGGGGGATGCCCCGCACCTGAAGAGAGGGCATCTAACAAAGAGGCTCTTCGGGCTGTGCTGATATCAGCAAGGACGCTTGCTGACGTACCTGCATTATCGCTGGTTTTAACTGTTGACAAAGCTGTGACTCCTCTCTTCGAGTAAAGCGCTAATGAGTCCTTGTTGAAACCTTCTGTTGAGCCGACTCTTCACTTTTGCAGTTCTGCAAGTCAAGCGCTACGTATTCACCTAGAGTGCTAATCTCACGGGAGTTTCCAAACTCATAGAGCTCTTGCGAGCCTGGATCTAAGCGTGTGTGTGTGTGTCAACCCCTGGGCCAAGGGTTCACCACCACCACCTTCTCCACCACAATTTTATACGCAGGGGGCACCTGGAGCAGAGATAGGGCAGGTGCCAACGAAGACACCTATCTCTTGCTCGTGATATCGACGGGAGACGTCCTGTCGACGTACCTGCGACTAACGTTTGCACAAGCTGTGACTCCACCGTTCTCGGTTTGATTCATGGTTCTTTCACGATACCTTCCCTTCAAACAGGTTTCCCACAGCTGCTTTCAGCCGCCGACTTTCAGCCGCGTTTCTGCAGACAAGTGAACATGTTGTTCAACAATTCAGTTGCGCTGACCCTTTCACCTTGCGTTTCCCTCATTCCTTTTGACCTGGGAACTGAGTTAACTGAATACAATTGTCAGAGTGTGTTTCGCTCAGCCGTCCCACTCGGGTGCTGAGTGTGATCCCCGTCATTGGGGCGCTGTCTCATCGTGCAAGCAGTAACTGACCTCACCACCTTTCACAGGAACTCCACTGGAAGTCACCTCCACGTCCACCGAATTAACTGCCACAACGGCCGCCGGGCCTAAACACGGGAACTGACAGTGTTGCAGCGTTTGCATTTTTCTGCATGCTTTTCCGCACGATCTTGCATATGTACTCAAGCAATCTGACATGAGTTTCCAACAGTTTAATTCGACCTTTCCACCTTCAAGCGCTGAAGCTGCTGCCACCGAGCTAGTGAAGCTGTACGTCCAAAAAGGACACAACGAAACTGCTTGCAGCCGATTTTTGAAAAGAAAAAGCGCCGATCACGGCAATCTGTGTGTGTCAACCCCTGGGCCAAGGGTTCACCACCACCACCTTCTCCACCACAATTTTATACGCAGGGGGCACCTGGAGCAGAGATAGGGCAGGTGCCAACGAAGACACCTATCTCTTGCTCGTGATATCGACGGGAGACGTCCTGTCGACGTACCTGCGACTAACGTTTGCACAAGCTGTGACTCCACTGTTCTCGGTTTGATTCATGGTTCTTTCACGATACCTTCCCCTCAAACAGGTTTCCCACAGCTGCTTTCAGCCGCCGACTTTCAGCCGCGTTTCTGCAGACAAGTGAACATGTTGTTCAACAATTCAGTTGCGCTGACCCTTTCACCTTGCGTTTCCCTCATTCCTTTTGACCTGGGAACTGAGTTAACTGAATACAATTGTCAGAGTGTGTACGAGGTGATTTTGCACGAGACGTGTGTCCCTGACCATCAGGTGATTGAAATCCCAAGTCTCGGAAATACGATTGGGCTCCCCACATTTCCACCATGTCCCTCCACGCTAGGAATGTGGGGTGTCATTTGATGTCACTTGTATGTATACAGTGGAAAGAGCACCACGCTCGAATCAACATGCGTGTGCCTTCTGAGTTGGCCGGAGGTGACTTAGTCCCTGAACAGGTCACTCAGACACTCCAACGAGGTCACTTAAATAAGGTCCCAACGGAGTGTTTGTGTGTTTTCAGGGCACGGTCTTTTGGCTCAACGACCCATCCATCACAACACATCAGCATCGACGGAGGTTCTGCGCCATGTCCGCGCTGAGGTTCTGTTGCCCTCAAGATCCCCACGCCGTGTGCTTTTCTGTAGCTGTTTACCCTAAACTTCCTAAACAGTATTGACCAAATCCTAATAGGACTCCTCCAACGATTTCCACATATTTCCGGCTTAAAACGCCCGCACCGGATTCCATTCCCGCTCCAAGAACACCCATCGACACCCATCAACCTGAGATTCAGCCGTTTTTTCGTCCCAGGCCTCCGCGGCCAGCGGCCTCCGCGGACGCATCCAAAGTGATGCCGCGGAGTCCGTCAGACACATGGGTCCAAAATGTCCCCGCATGGAAGCACGGTGTGGGTGGGATCTTTACAGCATGAGAGTCAGCATGAGATGTGTCATTCCTTTTCAGAGGCATCAAACAGGTGTTTACTAATTCCTTTTGTTTGTTGCTACTGTAGACTGTTCGAATCTTTAGACCTCTTGTTTTTCAAAAAATCAAGAAAAATGGCCCGGCCTTTACACATTCGACTAGTGTTGTTTATGTCCATGCCGCTGCTGTCCGGACATGGACATGCTGGGCACCACACATTTTGCTACCCTTTGAGTCACTAACATGGGGAGGGGAACATGTTTCCCTGGTGTTTCCTCCTTTCAACAAGGAGTGCCATCCACTTAGTGGTACATGCTCAAAACATGTGTTATGTGAGTTATGTGTTCCGTGTCGCCGTGCCACCTACCTCCATTTCTACCTCGACACCCCGTGAACTCACCGCCTCACCGCCTCACTGCCTCACCGCCCTCGGCTCCAGCGCCCTCCCCGCTGTCGTCGCCACAAACGCGCCGGAGACGCTCCCGCAGAGTCGAGTCTTCCTCGATCGGCCATGCGGGACGAGGTGACTCGGTGACGGAAAGGTGCTTGGTCAAAGTCTAGTCGAAGGGCTTTCCAAGAATGAATTGATTACAGTAATGATCTCTGTGAACATAAACACTCTGAAATGGAGGCTATGTCCACAGATTTGGGCTTCTAAAGTGGGCTGCGCTGACCTACCCCTCGAATCTGCATGGGGATGATTAATGTATACCTTGCATAGGTGTGATGTTTGATTTGATATGAGTCTGGCCTAAAAAGATGGACACGCCGTCGTAGACTGTCGTAGATGCGCCATGAATTTCGCTTGGAGGGTATCAATCGAAGTGAAACACCGTCTATATAACTGCTGCAGACCAAATGAAACGTTGTGCAGATTGCGGGAGCGTGGCTTGACCCGAAAGACTTCATAAATATCAAACAAAGGGATTCACTTGTGAGTTGTGAGTTTCTATTTTTTGGTGAGAGCCGGGCTGGCTACCACAGCCCAGACCAAATATGGCTGCTTCAAAGATGTTCAAAGCTTTCTGGTGGGTGACTGGAGGTTCATCCATCGATGGCCGCAAATACGGACTTGCTTGGTGGATAAAACATGATCAACAAAATATTGATTTTTGAGGTGATCCCGGTGAACGACCATTGGTATATAATTGTATCATTATTATATCGATCTATTATTATAGCCGCGTTTAGATAGCGACCGCCCAACCCGCAGTTCTTTTTGGCTAAAAGGATATCATTGGGTTCAACATGGCTCAACTACTTCCTCAGAAGGTTTGTGACTGGTAGGAACCAACAGAGGTTGAAGGACCCTATAGACATCTATATAGACTATCCCATAGGAACCCCAGTAGGGTCCTTCAAGGTCACCTCTCCTGGAAATGGTTCCAAGGTGTGCTGGACTCAAAACGCTGCGGCGTGAAGAACGCACCTGCCACTTCCTGCCAGGTACCCACGTGGAGCACGACAGGAAGTGACAGCTTTGAGGAGGCCGCCTTTAGGGCCAGGAAGCGCGGTGAAACGCCGCCAGGACAGATACACCAGAAAATTCACTCAAACTTCAGCCCATGTGCAAGTATCTTCTCTTGGATTACGGAGCCTGGACACGGTTTCGTTTTGACACCGCCCACGTCGGCCAGTGATTTGGACGACAGGTCTCGACGTCGGCCGCACAGGCCACCTTGCCGAGCAAGGAGGTCGAAGGTCCAGCGAAGGAGGACTGCAGTCCGCAGAAGGTCGGACGACGGTTGGGGGGGATTCGTTCACCCTTTGACGACCGAGGTAGGACGTGGTGGAAGGTCTATCCAGTCGAAGGAAATAACGGCAAAAGACATGGCAAAGACATGCAAAGACTCTCAGGACGGTCCCTAGTATATCGTTATATAGATTTTATAATGGTTCTATTGGGCTTTGTCGTTGTCTATCTTCCCAACTTGATATCAAAAAATATAGAATCACTAGCAGTAGCAGCACCCTCCTCCCCATCGTGGAGCCTGTTGCTTCAAGGCCAGTCCCCGTTCCACTGCGTCACCAGCAGAAAACGCTAGCATGCCCTTTTGGTACAGATCCCTTGTGGTCCAAACAGTACGCCATTTTAATCCAAATGTTGTAAGATACAGACCTTGACTCACTAACAATGGAAGTGGAAAATGATGGACATGGCACCCTTGGAAGACTGCTTTCTTTGATGAACAGGGGACGCGTCATGTACACGTCATGTACACGAGTGACGTCACGTGTTGTTTTATCAAAAAACGTATGGAGGGTGTGAAGCGAAGCCACCAGTGTGTGTTCCCCACCGAACCTACGGTGATCGAAGATGGAAGCGAAGCCACCAGAGGTTGCAAGGTGCGACGCAGAATGACCCGCATGTGCCCTGGATATTCTTTCTGGATTCGCTTGGCACATGGGGCTTTCCTGGACTTCCTGCGAGTCTCGATGCTTCGGAGCTAGGATGGTTTGGGTCTTCGCTACCAGGACCCCCCCAAGCGCAAGACGAGCTCGCGCGGCTTCCGGATCCGTGCCAGCGACCCTTGGAGTGGATGGGTGGTCCAAGTCGATCTGATCTATGTGTACCCTACGACCAGGACCTTCCAAGTTCGGCTTTTGGACAGCCCTAGGAGGCCATTCCTTCTTCAGAAGTCATCCTATATATATATATATCTATATATATATATCTATATATACCTTCACCAACCATAACCTTTAAAAATATAGGTTTCAATGAAAACCCGATGTTTGCAGACAAAACCCGATGTTTTGATTTTTGAGGGTTTTTGAGAATCCGCCCATCCTCAGCCACGCGCCTCAAAGACGTTTGCGAACTTTTCTTCACCCATGCGACCCTGCGGTGAACTATGCTATCTGATGGATCCTTGGCTTGATACCGGAGGGAAGTGGTTTCCGGATACTTTCAGTTCATTAAGTTGTAAACGATGCAGCTCAACTCCTTCAACCCCCTCACCGGATCAAGTATTTAGCTTTGATGAAGTGATGGTACGCGCTTTGCAAGTACCGATCCATAATTCGGTGCAACACAGGCGTTTGGGCCGTTACACGACGACTCAGCCTCGCAGGTCTTCCGATAAAGTCTTCGGAAGGCTGACAGGAAGTACCCAAAGGGTTGACCCCGCATACCCCACGCTGATGTGCTTGGTGGAGGTCAACCATAAAATGATGAAGGAGGTGTATCTTGGGTTGAAAAATGAACAAACACCGGCGCATTTGTTTGGCCATTGTAGCCATTTGGGAATACCGTCTTAGAAAAAGGAAACCAAGCTCTGCCACAAGCTTGCACTCCCCAGGCTCCAGCCACAGGCTTGAACGGTAAAGCAACCTGCTGCACCTTTGGATGGCATGGCATGCTTCGGCTGCCAAGCCAAGCAAAGGTTGATGGGGGAAGCTGTCACGGTTGAAACGCGCTTCCACGTATTCCATGAGCACCGTGCTCAGGGCACCTTTGTGCCAGGATCCGGTCGGATAAGTGCTTGTGGTTTCCCAAGAGATCGATTCCTTCGAGATTTTTGATACAAAGGCTCTTCTCGAATTACGATGGCACCATGACTTGAAGTCCTGACTGAGTGCAGCAAAACGCTCATCGATTTGTCCATGTGCTTCCTCTTCGCTGAGTAGTGCAAGGACGGATCCTAGATAATGCTTGAGCACTCCGAGATGCATGGCGTGAAACCAATCGTAGCACCAAATGCTCGCCTCCTTTCCTGGCTCGTGTAAAAGGTGTGTCGCAAACGGAGACGGCGTCAAAAATGGGTTCTGAACATGTTCCGTTGCAGCCCAAGTAGGGCGACGAGTCTCAATTTGTTCAAACGGGCACTGTGTTTGTCCCGCTTGGCAGCGATGACAAATGCCAACAGGTGGTGTCCGAACTGTGACCCGCTTCTGTATATTGTTGAACGACCTTGAGAATCCAGCGCATTTGTGTAGAAATGGCCAATCGCCAATTATACCAACGACAACTCCCCAAAAACGTCCGCCCTGCGGGTTTGCAACGCCGACTTCCCACATGAAACGTGCTTCCTCAGCAACCGATTCCATGAGGAGCTGCCACGTCTCAGCATGTTCATCGGAATAATCTCGCTTTCGCAGGCTTGTGATCAGGAACCTGTTCGTGAAGGTATGGCCCTCAAAGTTAACCTCCATTCTTGCCCAAGAATTTTTCAAGCCACGACCACGACTAGATTGATTTGCTTTTGCAAAGCCCCGCCCAAGCATGCTGTGGAATGAAAATACAAAATGGGCGCCATGGCGCCGTCCACGCCCCTCGTCCCCGTGCAACAGCAATGGGATGGCCCGTTTCAAGACCAGCGTTCCCAATGACGCCTGCTGAAAGATTTGGTGATTTGGATATAGCCTGGCAAAGTTTCGCCAGAAGGCACTGAGTATTGACTCCTCCCTCGATGCGTGCTGCTTCTGCAGCCCATGCAATATGTGCATGCAAGAGTTGGATGCCAAGAACTCAAACCAATCTCGGATTCTAAGGATGGGAATGTGCGGAAACTTTCCCAATTGAGACCTTTTCACTCCCAGCGACAGTTCGTACTTGTTCACTAGGACACGGCGGCAATCCCTTTCCGGATTTGCGCTGCTGCAGCGCGCTATATCCAACAAACCACCTGATGTTTGCGCAGCCTTTGCGCCTACATCAGCCACAAAGTCACGAGCTGCAGCGATGGCAGAGGTGCATGAGGCCTTGGCCGGCCAACCGGTTAAATTTACCAAAAAACGTCCGACCTATAGAACCTAAGTCCCACGAGTTCGTCTCACATGGAAATTAGCAAGCGCCCTGAGAGTGCAAGAGCGTTGAACTAGAACTCAAAGTTAAGTTGTAGCTTTTTCAAAACTTCTGTGCAAATGCAAAGTTCCATGGCTGCCCGTGTTTGGTTCACACGCAGCGTCGAATTGTTTGTACTCAATTGATCTTAATTGACCTAACCCGTATTGGCTCTGATGGCCTGACCGGGGGAGGGTGCTTAAAAGACCTGTACACAACATATGTGCTGCACTGGCTGTCATCCGAGGAGTTGGATGGCATCATCACACTGTCACCGCCGGCTTTGATGTTCCTGCAGCCAGGCTTACCTGAGCGAAGGGATGCGGTGCTCTAAGGGGTTTTTAGTGCCGAGGGACCATCCATTTACAAAGCCCCAAAGGGGACTGCTTCATTTGTTGATAAAAGATAGAAAACATGCACTGAAACTTGGACCAGGTGCCTCGAAACATGTCGATCAAACAAGCTTCTAACATTGCAGGCCCCGAAGCTTCCGTAGATTCGAACAGGACTACCATGTTGGACCACTTGTCCGGGTCGAACTTGTACCCGTAGATGGTGTTGGACCAGCGCCACAACGGATTGTGGCTGTAACCAATTTTGAAAATCATCGGTTGGTTCTTCTGGAACAGAGTCAGCATCACAGATTTGGCATGTTGGAGAACCCTACCAGCCGTGACGCCTGGGGGCGGGAGCTTGTAGTCTAGAAATGCCAAGTCATCACACGGGCTATCGAAGCGAACACTTGATGGTGTTGTAGCCGAACCAGTTGGTGAAGACGATCTTGACATGCAGTGTGTTTGTTTGGAAGATAGCTTGTTCCCTGCGAACATGGAACTTTGTTCTTCCCAACAGCTCATGCAATTCCCACGATGCACCGCCTTCCCAGGCCCAGTGTCAGAAGGACTTCCTGGTGATTGGCCTCCGCCTCTTGTCCATGGAAAGGGTTGCAAGCTGTCCTTGAATTCAAGCGGGGTGGAACTGGGAGGGTTGAACAGGTTCGTGGAACATGACATTGAAGGCAGTTGAAGCCAAGACTCTGTCCGATGACACGTAAGTAGGTCCCAGAGTTCATCATACACACTTTCATTGCTGTCATCGCCCATGATGGGGCCAGGTTTGCAATTAACAAAGGAGCTTGAACAAAAAAAACGGCAATGCTCAAAGGTCTTGCAAACCACTCCCATGCACCAAGCTGTCAGTGTCCACCGAAGAGTTTTGAGCGCTGGACTCCATCACCAATCCTTTTCGAGAAGCCTTTGACAACGTTGCCCGGCTTCGGACCTGGCCAACGCAACCCAACTCAGTACGACAGAACGAACCGATTCTGTCAAGCTCAAAGTGGAAGGCTGTGACTCTCCCTTGCAGCACGGCAGGCCGCAGCATGTCAGGTGTATTTTTGGCTGTGCGTAGCTCGAATACCCCGCTAATTGAACTTGAAAGGTTCCAGCTTTCAACCACCACCTGTCAAAATGATTGTGGTTCCACAATCTTCGTACCCGCTGGAAAGAAAATGCATACAGCGTGTTCAGTTGCTCCCAGAGTCGGAAACCACTTTTTCGATCAACATATATAATCAAAACGAGACAAACATGAATGATGAGGAACGAAAGCAGAGCAACACGCTGCCTCTTGCTAAAATGGCAGGCCCTCACTTGCGAGCGCGCTTGGACTCAGGTTCTTCCGGTACATCTGTTCCTTTCCCTTTCTTTTCCTTCTTGGTTGTTTTTCCAGGTTTTGCTTTCTTTTCCTTCTTTTCCTTCTTGTCCTTCTTGCCATTTGTGTCCGTGCCATCGGTCTTGTCATAGTACTTCTTTTGGCTCCTGGAGCACTTTGAGTCGGGCATGTTTGGGGACTTGGAATGCAATTCTTCCAAGAGAGGTCAAGAGGGCACATGATACAGACGGTAAGCAAAAGCATGCAACTCAGGTTTGTTCGAGATGCGGCTGCTCCTGATCCTGATTTCTGCCGCAGCTGCTTTGGAGCACCTCGTTCGTGCGAGAGGCTAGGCCGTCGGCTATAGGCCAGAAATGTTAGTGGTCCACTTTGTATGTGGTCAGAGAAACAAAGACAGGCACCAAGAAAAGGACTAATAAGGACGTTCCTGATTGAGTGACTGACCGAACACTCCCCCCCGGTGACATCTTGGAGTCCACACGCCATTGTTGCAGTTTTCATTTTGCCCTCAGCAGCAGTGTAGAACCTTGGTGATAAAGGACCTACATGGTACCACTCACACAACCAAAGAACTCTTCCAAGTGTAGGAGTCCTTTTCGGCAAGGAACGACTCCGTGAAGAAGCCATGAGCCTCCCCCGTAACCCAAACATCCTGACAGCCATCAAACTCCTTGTCCAGGCTCACCACCTCCTTGTTCAAGATCTCGACTGACCTGGGCCAACGATCCGTTTGACGCCTATATCGACGCTCCGCTGCACACGAAAGGATTTAGGGTGGCTGCTTGGAGGCTTGCTCATCGCTGCCATACTTTGTTTTGAGTTCTCTGATCAACGATCGCAACTTCCCTGTTTTGCTCATGAGGCTGTCCATGAATTTCTTGAACCGATCTTTCGTCTGGCAGGGACAGATGGTAGAAACATTCAGTCAAATTACCAGATACTGAATGAACAGTGCATTCTGTTTCTATATGTTTTGTACCTGACCTGCCCATACTTGTTCTCGGCATTGGGGCCAAGATCAGCTGCTTTGGTGACCTCGGCCTTACGCCGACCATCCATATCAGCCAAGCCTTTGAACTTGTCGCCAAGCTCGAACTGGGGATCTGAGTCTGCCTCATCGTCGCAAGCATGGAGCTGGAATATGGTAAAGGATGGTAAAGGGATGTAGTGGGAGGATATCCATACTTTCGTGGGTGGAACCAAAAATGGCGGGGTCTATTGGCTTCTTGTTTCTTGGCGTGCGAGAACGATAGTCCAGCCTTTTGGCGCTTCTGGTGAATCTCCTCGTAGGAGTACGACTCCTCCCGCTCGCCGGTTTCCTTCACAACGATCCAGAACTCCTCAATCCCATCATAGCGGTTGAACCTCCGGGCGGTAGGACCCCCCTGTGAATCAAAAGATTTGTTTGATTATATTTCAACCATTTCTCATCAATTATGTTGACCCTGAGGACATGGTAAATGCTGGAGCTGGCCTGACAAAGCCCTCCCCCAAAGCGCGACAGCGAGCTTTGGCCCCTTCGATGCGCTGCCTGGTCCGCGAAGGGGTGTTGTTTGGGTCGCGTGAGGTGTGGCCTTCACAGATGACATTATGACATTTGATAATATATACAGCACCACGGTCTAGATCTCGAGTCTATGGAGTAGAGCCTGAAAAAAATGAGGACAGGGCGGTTTCCACTTCAGATCCACCCTCATCTCTTCCTCAGAGAACCAACCTTCGTTCACGGTCAGCTTGACCTTTTGCTGTTTCTTGACCAAAATGGTCAGCTCAGCAACAAACGTCTCCTGCGTGTGGTGTTTGCTTGGGAATATAGGGTCATTGACTCGAGGATTATAAGGTGGGATCAAAAGCAAATCGGAACACACAAAAAATATCAATTGAACACGCCGATCCTCACTGAAATTGCTCTTGCACATGAGATCCGCGATGGCATTCTTGTTACCACTTTGCCACTCACGAACAACGATCTCCGGGGCGTTTCTGTCCATGCGCTTCGTTTTGGGTCGCACCCAACGGATCAATTTGGCTTTAGCAGCATTCCGGAGTTTTGTCTGCAGGGCTGATAGCAAAAGAACGATGTTTGCACGATTCTAGTTTACAACATTGTGGATGCATGCATTGTCAATCATTGGGTGCGTTGGGTACAAAGTGCAAAACACAGGCCTTTCGGTCAGTCAGCGCGGGGTCCTCCGCTACCGCTGCCGGGACTGCAGGCTCCGACTTCAGCCCCCCGTCTGGTGGAACCTCGGCCTCAACCTTCTGGCCAGGCTGAGGACCAGCAGGGATGGGAGGTGTATCAACTCTCTCACCATTGGTGCCAGAAGTTTGGCGACAGGGTGTTGGAACTGGCACGACAGCAGGTACCTCTGGCTCCTGAACAAAAGCTATAGAAAACATTAAATGCAAAAAATACCCGAACATGGTTTCAATCTGCGGGCGTTGTTTGTATGGTTGAAATCACCCTTCACGCACCTTCTTGCTCATCATAGCGGCAAGATCTTCATCAGACGCCTCAGAGGTGGGTTTGAAGCGACAGGAATTTAGCGGTGGTCCCTCCAAGTAACCAAGACAGGTTGAGAGGTCTTCCAGCCTCTGTTGGTAGTGGAAACCATATCAGCTGAGGACAGGACTGGCACTGTCTCTTGCTCTTCCATTCCACATGGACGCTGGGCCTTAAGCAAGGAGTGGCTGGCCTATAGGGGTGGTTGCCTCACCGCTAAGGGTCTGGCAGGGACTGAAGTACTCCAAAACAATGGATCGGGTTCACGTAGTGCAAGTTCATGGTCGATATCCTTCACCCATACCAGAAGAAGTTGAAAGGACATACAAAAGAAAGGTGTCAGAACAAAAGGCAATCCAAGAGAGGTCATCAAAGGCCTTATAGGACAATGCGCCCTCCAATTGTGTGTTGGAGGGCGCATCGTACTATAAGGCCTTTAGACCTTTGTTGAAAAGAGTGACAAACTTGATAGAATGGTTGCATGGCCATTGGAAAGGTCCTGCAACTGCTGCAGCAATTGTTGTTCTTCAGCTGCAAGGTCCATATGTTCAACCCCATACTGTAAGGTTGCACAGCTGGATCCCAAGGCGCTCAAAGACCCTGACATTTTGTCAGCTCTATTTGTTGGCTGCCCCTAAAGCCCTCAACACGATTGAGCCCTGTGGTCAAGAAGGTTCCAAGTTCGAAGGTGCAGATTTTGATGTGGAGTGAATGATAGTGAATGCATATGCCAGCTCTATTGCGTATAAGGTTTGACCTCAAGCTCCTTTGCCAAACCTCCATTCCGGCAAGTAGCGTTGCCCAAATGCATGTAGCCCATGAATTGTCGCGCAGCGGGTATGCCAGCTGTGCGTTGGAACTGTCAAAAGCCTTCAAAAATGAGGCTCCCGGGGGGGGTGTCGAACCCATTAAAAAATAATGGGTTAGTACTAGTAAAATATGGGTTTAGTACGGGTTCAGTACGGGTTTGGAAAACCCGAGGTTTTACTAGAAACCCGATGTTTCGATCCAAAAATAACGGTTTGATACGGGTAAATATAGGGTTGAATACGGGTTCAGTACGGGTTTGGTCAAAACCCTTTCTTTTCCGGCACAAAATCGAAAAAGTTTGTCATCAACCCATTCAAAAGGTCAGACTATAAGAGCGACAGAAGGAAGTCACCCCTCGGAAACCTCATGAAGTCTCTTTGGCATTAAGCCTCGCCACTCTACAGGGATCGTCAACCTTTTGTGACGTCGCAAATAATTGTAGACACTTTCCAATCGGAGATACCTCCAAACACTTTTGTCAGCCCACTCAAGTTGTTCAAAGGACGATACGGCTGAAGGAACCGGATCAGGAAGCTGGGGCTGCCCCTTGCACGTCACCTTGAGGTCTTCCAACATGTCGCAGAACTCCCGCGCAAAGGGCACAGGATAGACCCTAGGCGCGGGCGGCTCGAACTGCAGACTTAATTGTAGGGAGTTGGGGGGTGGCAAGGTGGCCTTTTCTTTTTGTTTGTGGATGAAAAACGGTCTTCTCAGGCCACCTTTAGAAAGCATCAAGAACAATAACCACACAATTGTCGAATGTTGCGATTGAGAGGTGTGGAAAAGTCAGAGGTGTAGTTGGTTGCACCTGAGTGATGGAAATCTTGGTCCTTTAACGGTTGGAAGCATGATGCCCACCAGAACAAGGTCAGAGAACCACCGGTAGAGTCAACCAACTGTGAGGAGAGTCCACCTCCAAACCAGTCGACCCCAGAGGAAGAAAGCAGCAAAACATCAAAACTGGTACAAGTCAAGCACCAGGAAGCTCTGTACCCTTGAGTGCGGGTGTTCCTTTCCACCTCTTGCGTCCTTCGCGGTCTACGTATTTCTCGGCAGTGACGACCTTTTTGTCCCCCTTCTTCTTCTTCCAGCCCTGGAGCACGCCCTTGTTCAACTTGTGGATTCGTACTGAGTTGCAATAAGCCCAGTGTCTCTTTGGGGTTCTCGACTTGTAGTGTCCCATCCACCAACTAACTTGGTGGACCTAAGTATTGACTTGATAGATATGAAACTAAAATAACAATTGCCCACGCGCAAACATTTAAACATTTGAACTGACTGACAGATGGCAGAAACCCTTTAGGGACTGGACAGCACTCGGGCCTCCGGCGTCAAAGATCCTTCGAATTGTCTCTCTGAAAGCCGGGTAGAACTCTGCCAATGACCCTGATGGTTGCTCTAGGCTCCAAACACCTCCCAGACACGTGGTCAACAATATCAGGCAACAGCTCCTGCATACAACCGTGAGCCATCAACACCTTTATATAGCTCTCTTCTAGACACTCGGGAGGTGCCACTTGACCCCCCAAGACTTTCAACCCAAAGAAAACAAAACAGCGCTTGCTTAACAACGTCAACCCCTCCTCTCTAGGAGCATGTTACCCAGCTGCACCGATGGATACTCTTCAAAGCCTAAAGCAGAGCATGGACTACGCGCGCTAGTGCCCACATTCACTTTGCAAAAGGATGAACACTTCATCCCAAAGTGAGCCCCGAAGTTGTCAGCCATCCCACGAAGCAAATATAATGTTGCCAGCCTGAGCTCAACAGTAACTCACATGGATTATATATATATATATGTCCTCTCCATGGATTGGATGTCAACTTTTGTAGGGATACAAGGTCTCGCTTATATAAACCAAGAAACGCAAATCCTGAGGCATGAGTCAAATCCATAAAGTTGGACCGCTCGCGAGGTTCTTGTTTGTGGTCCATCACGTCAAAACGGGCTGCCTTGTACTGGGATGAAGCCATGACACGGGTCAGGTTTCCAGTGCCCGCAAAATATTCGAGCCATTCGTAGTCCTGAGGAGTGGCTGATCACTTAAGAGTTCAGCAGATGGGGTTGAAGCCTTTCAAAGCACTACAACGGTTGCACCCCGGACCCCAGCTGCTGGCCTGCGTAATGGGAAATGTAAAGACCAGGAGCAGGATCACCAAAACAAACTCCTGAAGGGCACGCTTTCTAGGATATATTCTTTGGCAGCAGCCAAAGCCTGCTGGGAAGGTCTGTTCTTTTGCTGGGGGCTTTTGACTGCATGACATTGTGTGTTGGGTGTCTCCTTTGGAACGTGGAGACGTTGAAGGCGGCAAAGCAAGATGTCGAGGTTCAGCATGGCGATGTGATTGGTCGGTCTCTAGCCCCGATGTATTCGAGAAACGTGTTTGTTCGTCCATGTGCTAGCTATACAACTTTGTTATATATGCATTTAAGATTTACAAGTTCGAGTATTTTTCAGAACCCTGAGTTGAGAATGGCTGCATGCATCCAACCAAATGCACGCGATTGAACTCGGCTCCAAGAACGCAGAACCATTGAGTTGAATGCGAATGAGCTGGTAGGAAACATGCCCAGCAAGACGCTTCTTCTTCAATGTCTCCACCCGGACTTGCCACAGGCAGTTCCGCCTCTGGAGCTTCCGCCACTGGCTTGGCCTCAGGACCGGCGCCGTGGCATGGACGTATCGGGATGAATGAAAAGAGATGATATAAAAAGTCGGAGTGCAGCGGGTTGAAACTAGAACCCTGCAGCTAGGTTGAAACTGTAACCAGGGACACCCTTCATGTCTGAAAACTCTTTGAAAATAACCTCCGCCAGACGCTCGCACCGTCGTCGCCCGATTTGTCCTGAACCATTGCCGTGTGCGAGCCTTGTGCTAGAAATACCCGAGATGCGGCTGGCACATGAATCACTGAGTGTCAACAAGCAAACACTTCAACAGCAGCTGAAACCAACTTGTACACTCCAGGTTCCAACCATTTCCAGCCTCTAACATCTCAGGAAAATGAGAGATCGTCAAATTTTATCCCCTCATGAGTCTTTCAAGGGGTCCCAGCGCCAACGGTGGACCAACGAAACAAGCCTCATAGAACCAGGTCGCATATATCATTTTTTAAGGTCATATAGTTCGATGTGTTTTCAAAACGGGAAGGCCACCTGCAACCGGTTTCGTGTGCTATCCCCAAATAGGGCAAGATGTCATCACCTTGCCAACCCAGCACACAAGCACAGTCACCTATGTAGCACTGTCCCGCCACTCGAAGCAGGGAGTTAGGATCGGATCAAAAATCTCTCACGTCATCAAAAATGTTCAAAGCATCGGTCATGAGTTCCTTCAGCTGGGCCGACATGTTCAGCACAGCCTGGTTCTCTGTGATTTTGGCATTGGGATCCGTTTCCTCACGGCCCTTGACCTCATCCACGAACCTTGCCTCAGCAAAGAATGGAGGCTGGCTGCCATTTTTGTACCGTTAATTCTGAAGATGCTCCCGAATATGAATGATATGAAGTACTAAATACATTTCAAGGTTTGCATCAAGAAACGCATACAAGTCGCTAGCATCTCCGCTGCTTTAAGTGCGGCTGCTAAAAGGAACACTGTTGGGCGTGTGCAGTTCTTCGCAGGGAAGTAAGCAAAATCCTTTTTCTCAGCCCGGCATTTGAGGCCTACAGCTGCCCTTGACCAATAGATATTAACTCGGCATGCGTCAAATGGCTGCAACCTCATCCGCATGAGTTGATGGACTTCCTCTTCCTCGTGACCTTTCAAGCCTTTGAGGTACTTCAACATTTCCCTTACCCTCAAATCTTTTGTAGCTGGCAACACCGTGGATTGCTCGACCTGGTCAATGTGCGCAGTGGTGCCCGAAAGGCTCTCTGTAGCTTTCTGCTTTTGCCTTTTGCGCTCATGAGTTGGTTCACTGCCTCTATCCTTCTTGTTTTGTTTCTTGCCCCTGCTCTGCTCCTGGCCAGCATCCTCAACCTCGTCGGGCATAGCCTCTTTGCTCTTTCTAGATCTCTTTGGTGCTCTCTCGTTGGTAGTTTCCTTTTCTGCCTCCTTTAGCTTTCCCTTCTGGGTCCTCCTGCTCTTTGCTGACTGCGGTGGTGAAAGATGTGATGCTGCCGAGGCTTGTTGTTGATCCCAGTCGCTTTCGCCATTCCCACCCCAACCCTCCCAGCTTGGTTGCAGTCCCCAAGCAACCCATTCATCCACCGTGTATCCGTAGATCTTCTCTGTTTCCGACATCTCCTCAACCTGTGCCTTGCCCTTTGCCTTTCTGGTTCGGGCTGTTGCCTCTGGAGTTTGCTCGCTATCAGGCTTGCCTCTTCCACGCCCTCGCCCACGTCTCCCACGACCTTTGCCTCGGCCTTTGCCTGCAGGTTTCCCCTCATTTTCTAGCACCTCTTTGTCTTTTCTACTTTTCTTTAGTTCCAATTGTTCCCTCCTCGTCGTGGCTGCTTCCGCAGGCGGCGCCTGGCACGAATAAAATATGACATATGAAACTTAATGGAAAATGCACAGAGCCCTTCGCACAACACTTTCCCCAGCCTCAGAATCACTCTCTGTGAAATCATTCCCGTTCTTGGTTTGCGGTGGCTTCTCGGGTTCCGCAGGTTCCTTCTTGGGTGCATCCGGGTCAACTTTCAGGGCTTTGTCGTGCATTGGCTTGTGCTGGTAAGTTGCCCGCTTCGCCTCCGCTGAATGATCTGGTGAAATTACAGCCTCCGCCGTCGGTGTTTCTGGTGGATCCGTGGACATCACATCTATGGGCTGCGTCTCCACTAGGTCAATTTGCACTGTTGCCTTTGGTAGGCTTTTCATCACGCCTGCACATGTATCGATAGTAAATCTTTGATTGCTGACTGGGTGCTTTAGCTTTTAATTGGTTATACCACATGTACGCAAAGATTAGCTGACCCATTGAACAACACTTGTTGACTCCACTTGGTCTTGGTCCTGTTGAAGGCGGCGTGGCACCACCAGACACACTTGCGGGGGAACAGGAGCGGAGCCTTAGTGTGTTTTGCAGATTCCACAAATTCGGGTTCATAGGTTCATTGGCTCATTGCTCTGAGGTTCAGGTGCAAAAACAAAACTAAGCTGGAATGCAGGCTAAAAGCGAGGCCAATCTTGCAAGAACTTCTTCCCTTTTCTTCTGGAGCATATCCATGTTGCCTTAATTCAAGCCAATTTGCGCCCATATAAGTTCAATTTCTTTTAAGTGCAGCACATATAAGTTATAATCGATGAGGTTTGCCGTGCAAAAAACACAATATATGCCGGTAGATGCCGTCAAAGCCACTGCATGTCCCTCCAACGCTTTCATTCACCGTGCTGTTCTCTTTCGGAATGGGTCTATCAGTGTCACTGGTCGAAGGTAATCTCTCAGTCTGTGGATCTGTGTTTTCCTTTGGCTCTGGCTTGGGCTCTTTGATCTCTACACTCTCATTCTGTGACGCTGGCTGTTCTTGCTTCGGTTCTGGCTTAGGCTCTTTGATCTCTAAACCCTCTTTCTGTGACTCTGGCTGTTCCTGCTTCGGTTCTGGATTGGGCTCTTTGATCTCTAAACCCTCTTTCTGTCGCTCTGGGTATTCCTGCTTTGGTTCTGGATTGGGCTCTTTGATCTCTATCTGAGGCTCCATCCCACTTTGAGGGGAAGCTTCAGCACCCGTCGCGCCAGTATCCCCTTCATTCTTGGAACCACTTGAAACTACTGCAGTTTCTCGGCCTTCACCATCAGAAAGCTTTTGTGACGTTTCGGGCTGGAAACCATTTGGCTCTTGTGTTGGAACCTCCCCATTCATAGCGCTACTGCTAGCATCAGGTTCTACCTCTTCTACCTCGACATCACTTGTAGAATCTGACTCCTCTTCACCTTCTGCATGGTCATCTTCCTTTTCACTCTCCTGTTGAGCTCAACCTTTTCATGAGAAACTTTAACGTTTGACATCGGCAAAATCTAGAACCGAATTCAAAAACAATATACAAACAACTGACATTGCCATTTCATGAAGTGCAGTGAGTCCTCAAGACCTTCACCTGAGCCTCGCAGACGACGCGCTTCTTTGCGCTCTTCAATCTTGCGATTCACATCATCCACCGTCTCCTACGGAAGATACAAACATTGTACCATGTGAGATTTGAGAGTTGAAGTAGCCTTAACCATATAGCTTCTAAAGACCTGTGTTCCATGACCGCATAAACCCTTCCTGAAGTGAAGAGTCCAATTCCATGCAAAGTTGCTGAAATGCTGCCACCTCGAACCCACTGTTGAACTGTTACACATTTCACTATTAACAGGTTGCTTGCATATATGCATCCACATCATCAAACGAAAGGAAGGTTTAACAAGTCCAAACGAAGTCGGTGTAAGGTTGCACGGTAGATATGCCCATGTACAATTGAGACTCAATGCAATAAAGGCGCCCCAGAAACTTCCCTGCGTCGACATTTCATCTTGAGGAAGCCTAGCAGCTTCCGAATCCTCCAAGACAGGGCAACAACATCCGGGGCCGTCTCTGGGGCGTTCTGGCGCTTGTTCTTCACATAGATGCGCTCAACCTCGTCCCTCAAAGTGTCTATCACAGGAAGTGGCTTGGTTTCGGTCAAGCTCATCCGTGTAATCAAGGGTTGTAGCACAAGGACATTTTTGAGGGTACTCGGTATATCTTCCCCATGCTCACCCTCCAACAAGGAACCACCATCCCGAAGACGGTCGCGAAGCTCAGAACTTGAGTCCCAATCCATGTGAAGGCCAGAAATGTCTAGCACCTCATGCACATTCAATTTGGGGCGACCGGCGGGCTTCTTTTTGTTCAATACCATCCTCCGGGACAAGGGATGAACTTTTCAGTTCAGCTTCCCACCACCCCTTGAGCACCAAATGGCTTTGGAGCATTGGAGGGTAGTGAAGTTCAGATAACTTCAGCTAATCACTTTGACTCCCCCTTTGCGCAGCCAACACTGTGTGCAGGACTGGGCATCCCGGCTTGCCAGTGGAAGATGAACTTGGCGACATTGTGCGAAAAACTGGCCATTTTTGCGAGCACGGGCATGACTTGTACAGAGTTGTTTTGGAATTGAACAGGTTTGGCAGCAATAACAGTGTTGTGAAGTTGGCCCACAAGATGGAACTATATAGACTGCATGGATAACATCTCATCCGTGTGTGAAAAATTGGTATCCAAAATTACATTATTTGACACCTTGGGGTTTGATCGGTGTAGTCTGGTTGATGTTGTCTCAACACCCCTGATACCCCAAGCTGCCCCCAGCGCAGCTTGATCTGAATGAGTTGGCGCGCCTGAGCTTCGGTGCCGGAGGCAGAATTTGTGGAACCTATCCCAAAAAACTCTGATTCTGATGGATGTCTTAGAAACCCGATGTTTTTCGGGCCAACCCTTTCTTTTCAGTAGATTTCGAGCAAACCCGATGTCTTGGTGGAAAACCTTTCTTTTTAAAGGGTTTGGGTTGTAAAGGTATATATATATACACGGATCCGTTTTGGGTGACGGAGGGATTCATCCCAGAAGATGCGGTGAACTCATGCACACACGGACCGCCCCGCCCCGCCCCGTTGGGTTCGAGGGGCAAATCGAAGGAATGGGATCCGAATTTGGATATCCGAGTCCAATTCGTCAAGTCCAATAATTAGAAAGAGTGGCGGGTTTAATTAGATGTTTCATGATGTTGCAAATCTAACAGATAATGAGTGGATGAATCGTCATTCATGTCATTTATTTCACAGTTATGAGGACTTTGCAGAGAAGGAGGAGACAGCACCGCGCCCTGAAACAATGACCTTGAGCGCAGTGTTTTGCTGGTCAACCAAACCACTTGATGTGCCTCACAAGCCAGGTAAAGACGAAAATAAGACACCCTGGTGATCCCTGGTGTTTGATATTCATTCATCAAGTCATGTCAGCATTTCAATATGTCCGCTTGACATCTACCACTCCATATCACTCCATCCATTTCCATTTCCGGAAGATTCTCCGCAAGAAACTCTAGGAACTCCAACGCCTGAAGGCTGAGCAGCCACTTGTCGACCAGTTTGCGCGGGTTTGCGTGGAGGATGCCGATGCGTTGGAAACAAATGGGAAAACATGTGGCACAATGCGAGGGGGATATCACCAAAACTATCCAAAACAAGACTAAGACTTCTCTCAAACTTCTCTATATAATGATCCTCTTCATATGGATCATGATGCTCCGTTTCTTTTTCAATCAGCGGATGGCGTTTGCCAGTTTGCATTGACAGGAATCCGTGAGGCGTTATGGCTTGACTGGTCTCCCTTTTTGGGACAAGCGACCATCAACTCCTTCCCACCTCACCTGTGGCCCTTAACATGGACAGGTTGTTTGTACGATGTTTGATATTGTTGTTGTTGATGATGTTGTTGTCGTTGTTGTTGTTGTTGTTGTTAAGTTGTTGTTGATGTTGCTGTTGCTGTTGTTTTTCCTGGTGCATGACCCTGAGTTATCCAAATGCCTTCATGAAGGAGGGAACCCACTCCGTGCGCCACTATCGCGGAAGGGGTGAGCTGTTGCTGGTTGGTCCAATGAGGCTACCATGTCTTGCAGAGGAAACATGTCTTGAACATCTTGAAAGGTTTCCAGCGTTTCTTGTTTTTGATCTGAAGTGGTTGCGTTTCGAAATGTAGAAGATACACTCCGCATCGATGTGATTATTTTTCTCAGTCTGAGGAACAAGATCCGGGAGGAAGTTGAAAGTCAAAGGAACTCGCTAGGCGGCAGCGGGGA